CCTTTTGGCAACGCTACTAATCTCTTGCTTCATCCCGAGATTTTTGTATGGTATTTGCAGCCATGCTGTGCGTGGAACCCATTACTGTTGTCCTCATCCTGGCTGGATTATCTAATCTTTTTTCAATCTTTCTTTCCCAGTTTCTATCGTCTGTTTCTTTGGTCATCTCCATTGCTGTAGGAGTGCACTATCTGTGGGGGGGTGGAATCTGCTGGGATTCTTGTATCAGCCAGTGAAATTAGTTAAGTCACTCTGATCATTCCTGTTTGATATGGGGCAGAGAGCAAACCATTCTCATGTTCTAGTAAAATCTTAAAATTATTCAGTTATGGATTTATTTCTTCTAAATTCTCTCTGTGGAGAGAAGCCAGGGAGATAATTCGAGATAGCCAGCATGGCTTCACCAATTTTATAATAGGTAGGTACTTAGGTCAGGAACTCTGTTCCATATTGGTTCCTGCACATCTCCTTTGTACTCTGTGGGGTATATAAGGATGAATTTTTGTCATCATTCTTGGGACTAATGGGTTTCGGGAGGGGGGAAGTTAGGGTTTTGTTTTTATGTTTACACAGTCTGACCCGCTTCTATTCATATTGTTTGTTTCTGTGTTCCTCATGATTCTTCATAAAGTCTCTCGTACAATAGATGGGCTAACCTGAGATATCTTTTGCATTAGAAATGCCTATCAGTTTCCGAAAGAGTGAGAGCCAGCAATTGAAATGGAACATTAAAATGCTATTTCATTCTTTTATGAGATAATTCGGTCTTGTTTCTGCTAAATAGACCAGTAAGTTACAGAAAAGTTAATGCTACCAAAATCAGTGTTCTAAAGCTACAATAATTGAGAATACTTTATTTTGAATTACGAAAGAAATAAAAAACCTGTGCACAAGTAAAAATAGGACTTTTATTCCCCTTACAGATGTTTCTATGTATAGGGCTGTTTTTTTTCCTTTTCCCCTTTTCATTCTCCTTGTGGTGATACAGTATCATCTGTATTCTTCTAACACGGAATCAGTCTTCTGTTGTCTGGTAGAAAGTGCCTAAATAAGGAACATATTCTTTAAAATTTCATTGTATGTGCTCTAGTAACTCATTTCATACTGTACACTTTCCCATGAACTCTTGTTACTAAATCTAGCACGAGGTGGTTTTTTTTAAGGTGTGGCTGGGTTGCAGCCATAGGGATGCACCAGTGTGTGCTGCAATAGGCTAGTACTTTCAGATGGATAGTGACAGTTTAGAAATACATTAAATATATATATTTCTCTTAAAGTAGTGTGAGTCTAGACATCACTCAACTATTGTTTTAGCATACTTCACTAGGTCTATATACTTTTATGACTTTACTAATATCCACTGTAGTTAGTTTTAGCAGAAATTAATGAAAAAATTAATAAAAAAAAAGTTGCTGTGTGACATTTTACTTTTTACATGTCCTTATTTACTCAAGCAGTGCTCTTAATTTGTTTCTTTTATTCAGTTTTGAAATTCAGATCTCCCTAAAGGAATCCTATCATACATGGTCTAGAACTGTCATTCAAACCCATGTTGTAAACAAGTTTTCAGTGCTGATGCCTAAGGTGAAATGCAATGAACTATTATTATTATTACATTTAATAAGCTTATAAAATAGCAAAATATGTAATCGGAAACATGTTGTATGTCTGTTGACGCAGAGGCACTGTACTTACTGTGAAAAGACTCATCCAGAATTTTTCTCTAATGCCCGCATAAGGCATTTTACAGACATCTGGACTGTGTGTAGTGCAGAAGACTCTCTACAGCTCCAAGGTCTGCCTGCTCTCTGAGGCTTGGTCCTGCTTCTGAATGTCAGAGTATACCGTAAGGAAGGACAGGCATGGATTGGGGAAATTATCTCCTCTGTGCTTCCACAGTAAATGTAGCAACGCCTCTGCAGTGACATTTGGCCATTCTGACTTTACTGTCTTCCTTTCTTCTCTTCTCTCCTACTTGTCTATGCTAGTAGGAGGCAGCCTTGCTAAAGCTTCCTTTTGTTTTTCTCAGCACGGTTTTGGATGATGCTGTAAATGAAATGCGCTTTTTTTTTTTCATCCTCATCAACTTTTGGTTAGTGGCAGAATGGTACCAGAATGGGAAGTGGAGTGGGGAAAAAAAGAAAAATAATTGTGGTGGGTGGGGAGGCAAAAAGGAGTAATCAAGGTAAAAACAGGGTTAAGAGAAGAAATGCACAGGCTAAAGAAATTGTGCCATATAGAGTAGTCCTATCTTTTAA